CTACTACACAAGAGTGTAACTGAGAGCCACCCTCCAGTCAAACTTTGATGATGACTATCACGGCTTGGTAAAACAAAAGGCACAAAAAATAGTTAGAGTAAACATTCAGGGGTTAAAAGGGTGTGGCAGGCGAACTCGGTTTTTGATTCGATTAACAGCAGGAACTTCAGTAATTGGCAAGCCTAGTTCTCACATGCTCACTTTATGCTTTTTGGTCGAGGTTTCGTAGTCTGCATGAGATCGGCCAGTCGTGGTATTGATGAATCATGAGAAGGAGGGGTGTCACATTTTTTCGTATCAGCGCCTTTCACGCCCATTAAAACAGGGTAAAAGAGAACAATGCCAGAACCCATGATACCATCACACTCTTTCAGGGCTAGACCTTATGGTTAGTCCGTAGCGAGTTTTTTGATCGACTGACTAGTGGCAGTAGTCCCTGAAAGCACAGCCTGCCTAGCATTCTCTTCGCGCGATTGGCGTTAACGGCCAATCAAACCACTAGCCACGCATAAGTCCGCAAATCCGTGTTGCTAGTGCAGGGCTAGACGGAGGCTAGTACAGTCTCTAGTAGTATGCCGATGTGGACGCGAAATACTCATATCATGGTCTGTCGAGATAGGTGCACGATGCGCACTCAACTGCTAGCCAGCTCTTGCGCGTTCGCTCAGATTGTCTGGTGGCTTTGTTGTGCTGTGTGCGCGTCGCGTGAAGGGCACCGTTGCGTGTTGTTGTGCCGTAGCGTGTGGGAGTGTCGCTCTGCTACCATGACTCTTGTGCTGTTTATTCTAATTCGTCCGTTGTTAGGAGTACGTGTTGAATTTTGATCATTTAGTCTTACACTACGTCTAACCAGGTATCTCAGCTGACTCTAGGGGGATGTAGGGGTAATAGGTCGTGAAGTTACTGAGGTAGTCCATAAACGATGAAAGACGGATAAAGATGCTACGGTATGACTGCCTAACGATCGTGCGTCAGGCGAAGTGTGGGCAGACAAAGGCATGTCCACATGGTCAACTGACGGCCCAGAAGACAGCAGTATTTCGTCTGATCAGGAGAGGAGTACTACAAAAGGTTCACTTCTCTCGCAATCCTCCGTCAGATAGGGGGTGAGTGAGTCGGCGACGTAATTGATCGAAGCACAGGTGCATCTACGTAGCCTTCAAAAGATATTAATCGCACGTTCCAGACATGCCTGGTGACTCTCGTACACTTTTCGCGGACGTCATACAGTTTTTTAAGTCGAACGTGTGGGTATCGGCGAATAAGTCCACGTTTGACTGTGGAATCCTCGAGAAGGCTATGATTGCCGTCGTTGAAGACGAGGTAGTAGGTAACTCTGAAATAGACGGCTTACCACCTTTTCAGAAACCAAAAGGGGACTGTGGTCAATCCTAATAATGTTTGTTAGACCGTTCATAACGGCTGCTTTTATCGTTCCCTGGTGGTATTAATACTACCAGAGAACCCCATCTGGGACATTCGAATCTGTGATCACAAACGAAATGACCGTGTCATATTGGTGGAGATAAAAAGCGTGTTTAGAGAAAACGAAAATGCAGGCTGCATTTGAGAAAGATCGCCCTGAACTCACAAAAGTGTTAATCTTTGGCTAATAGCAATAAGCCTAACAGCGGTCAACCCAGGGACCAAAGTGTGCGGCCTCACCCGAAAGACCGATAAACACCATAATGATCGGTTTAAAATAACAAAAAGGAAATGAAACGAAGGCAATATATTAAAGAAAAAAGGGCTCTAAAGCAAATAAGAGAATCATAGAATGATTGCGATTGTGGCTTGGCTCCTCCGATAGGCACTGTTTGCCGTGTTTTCCCCGGTCGAATCTGTCTTCCAACCTGCAAATGCGACTACATGTATGCATAATTTCAACTGATCAGATTTACTCGTCGGGCACAGTTATAACGCAATTTAATTTTATCTACGATACGTATAACAATAACTCCTCTTTACCGCACTTGCAATAATTATGACTTTGCAACAAGTCTCAATAATCTTTTGGCTGACGCGGTTTGTGGAAGCTGAAGTTTAGACTGTCACTTGGGGAGATGAAATTCCTTCTCGTACCTGCATTGTAAGACACAAGAAAACAACTGCAGGTAACTCAAATGCGGCAGGCGTCCATATAAACGAATTTCTGCTGTCTGCTCTATTTACTAGTTAGACCAGACATCGTTTTTCTTTTTCTTCTTGACTCGAAAGCAAATACAGTCTAATCAAGTGCAGGCATTAACTGTTCAAAATATGTTTTATCTGCGTTTGTCTATTATGTTCTCAGGTGCTTCAGAGCTGGAATCGCAGTCATTATCAGTTTGCGAAAAACTACAACTTTTCGACTGTGAAAGACTGCAAATTGGTTTGTTTGCACTGAATCCTCTGATGTCGTTGTGAATGTTAAGTAATGGAAGTTACCAGTTAAGTAAACCGCTTTTAATAGTCCTAAATAGCAAACATAATAAACTTATTTGTTCAATATACATTACGAATCGCACTTTAGTCTCTTTCGCTGAATTGAGGTCACCAACTATTAGTAAGTATCCAATCCATGTTCTCCTGGTCATCATCACTAAAACATCAGCCATTCTATTATCTCTGTACATTACTGCTTTTGTCGGATATTCTGTTGCAACATTGGCCTGGTCATTATGTTTTGGTTTCTTCGTGACGTTAGGCCTAATTTTAAAGCGATCGTTTTGATATCTATCACCCTGCTTCTACTTAATGGAACGTGTATGGTAGCTAGTGGAAGGTTTTTGCAAACCCTTTCGCATGCCGAACATCAAAAAGGGCTGCCATGCGCGGTCTCAGATGGGGTTTTAAACAATTTGGTGGGAGCATTTAAATGAATTGCCAAAGACACTGCATTCAGAAAAACTTCCACAGCTTTTCGATGTTGAATCCACCGAAATAATCTTCTCTAATAATGAATTTCGTCGTCTCTGATCCCTCTCCCCGGTCTCATCCTGTGAGCAATTACACTGGCTCTACTGCACGCAACACTACGGACAATTTCTTCAGACAACAGCAAACAAATGTCCTTCCATGCACTCTGTTTGGTCCAGTCCCAATTTCATGAAAGGGAATACAGACTAAAAATATCTATTACATTGTCAAACATCGTCCTTCTCTAATGACGCCATTGCGTGGGCATCAGTTTCTATCTCCTGAACCATCCAAACTATCCAAAACCGCCATCACCTGTATTTACTTCCCCAGGAATTTTTATTCACTGCCAGCCTGACCAGTGTTTTACCTTTCTTTGATAATGCCCATAAACTTGGGTTAAACACTATTATCATTGGTATCATTGCCATCATTTGATGATTGTTATAATTTTAATCATTATTATAACTGCCACTGATGATATAAATTTCGTTGTTAACTTGCAGCGGCCGAGGACGTCAAGGGTAGCACACACCAGAGTAAGGAAATGCCGAGAGGAGATCCTGGCAGAGATAGACCTGAACAGAACTGTCAACATTCTCGAAACTCGTTCACACGCAGAAGAAGAGAGTACGTCGAGTATGGATATAGTGTAATGGAACAACTGATATGAAGAATGTATATAACAAATGTAAATGTACACGAGCAACGAGGAACAGCAAATAGATGACCTGTCTGGATGGATAGACGACCCTGCGATACTAGCTAAACAGCTGGTGGGGATGCAGCGCTGTGGGCAACTGCAGAGAAGGGCCGAGGGGGAGCCGACGTTGAGCGAGAGAGCGAGAGAGAATTTAGAGCGACGGTTCGTTGCGGGAGGGGGGTCGGCGGTAGCGAGGAGAAGGGACACCGGCCGTCTTCGCCAGCCACAGTTACGCCATCTCCATCCCAGGTCCGCGCGCCAAAAGTGTCACATCATTCAAACAACTCTGTCCAAGTCCAGGGGCGTTACAAACTGACTATAGGGTACTCTCAATTCAAACCAAACACTGATTTAAATTGATGAGAGCAGGTGCTCTGACTTGCGCGTGAATTGGTCTTTAACGATTGTAGGCCTGCGATGAATCATCCGCACCCCCTCTCCCTTCCCCACATGAGTCCGTTGTCGAACCAGACTAAAGAAACTGGAGGTGGGGAGTACGTAAATGGCTAGCATGGCGTACGTTTTCACTTAGGCGTACCACCTGAGGACCCCGACGGGTCTTTAATAAAAATAATTGAATTGAATTGAACCACACTCCCTACTTCGTGGCGTGCACTGATCTGGATTTTACACAACAAGAGGAGATGGGGTGGATTGGATCCCCAAGACTGTGAGTGCCATAGAAGCTACATTAGAAAGGAGAATTTCGTCTTCAAGGCAACTACTCAGACGGCCGGGGAGGGTGGAGTGAAGGTATTCCCGGCTACGTTTTGCGGCGAGATTCTTCTCCGTTGATCACGGAGTTGTCGGTTTCCCTACCGTTTGCCCAATCTTTGAGGCCATGAGGAATTTGTCCCCGTAGCCACATATCCTGGAATATCATTGCGAGTTGATTCATGAGATGGGGGCCGCCGGTCTTGCAGACTCGGCCGAATCGCGTCGGATCCTGGTGCTTTCCTGCTGGAGAGTTGGTGCGCGGCTCGGATTGTTTTTGGGATGTTAGGCTACAGGTGCGAGTCATCCAGGCGTCCTGTATTGTCCTCACTTGCTGCTGCATGAGGCGGCGATGGCGGAAGAAGGCCGCTTTGTGCTATCGTTCACGTGGGTCTTTGCAGCCTATGCTTTTCTGCAAACTGTTGGTTAATTACTGCGTCATTGTCGTTGGACCAATCCTAGTGCTGGCAACGTGTGCGATGAGGACATCCAAGGCATTCGAGTAAACATCGCTCCGCAGTTGACAATAGCGAGTCTACAAGGCGATATTGTCGTCCGTGGCCAGCAGTCCTGTCAGGTACTTGGCTAACTTATTTCTAAAATGTAAGCGCTGAGCGTGCAAAATTTAACAAAACACTAACTTATCCGGTGAACGCTTATACTGTGGTGTCCTGCGGGATTATAGATGGACTCTAGCCTCGAAGATAACGAGGCGGTGGTCCGTACAGCCGTCGGCGCCGCAGATCGCTTTGATCCTCAGCAAGTCCTGTCGATCTCGCTTCCGGACGTGAACGTACTCCGGCAATTCCCAATGTCTCATTCGAGCTGCATCCGGGTCGCCCTCTTCTACGTTGCAGACCGGAGTAGGTGTTTGTTAGAAGGATACGGTGTTCTGTGAAGGTTCGCAGCAGAAGGAGACCGTTGTCTTTCCATATGCCGACACCGTGCTTGAAATGACAGCTACATAGTAAAATCTGTAGAGGGAACGTTTAGGTTTAGAAATAACTAGAGATTTATTCTGGAGTTTTGGCATTTCAAGCACAGCACTTATAATTAACAAGACATAGAATTTCCGAAGTTTCTGTTTTTTAAATAAAACAGAATGTCTTCAATAAAGATGGAAAGATTTTGGAATGCAAAATGCGGGAATGGTTCAAAGAGCCCGGGCATTTAATGTGAGATACTAAGGATACAACTGTACGCAAAAGGTTACACAAACACGAAAAAGAGCCACATACAATGTCTTGGTGAGTTGAACTTTTGGTAGACCACGATGAGAATAATTTAGTTTCGGCTGGTGGTAATTGGCTCATCGACGCAGAGGCTATTATGTTTGTTGAAAAGTCAGCGGATAAGACAAAAACTTTCCTACCCATTTGTCCTATAAGCTATTAGACTCGACCGATTTGCTCTGTCCCAACCTGGTCAGAACAGCAACCAAGTAGCTTGGGGATCATGTCCAGCAAACTTCGGCCAAAAACGTGGTCTGGACCGGATGCGTAAACTGAACTCCAGTCGCTAAGTGGTGAATTAAAGCTAGACCGAGTAGTTAATCCTACCAAGACCTCAAACAAATGGACGTCAGTCGTCAGATCATTTTTCGGCTGTCAACAGACTGTCAGGGCGTCGAGATTTGGTTAATCCGTTGCTTTAATAGTTAACCAAGATACATCGGAAGTACACGCAAATTTGTCTGTTTTCTCTGAAACTTTAACCCTTTGTGTTACATACGCGAGTAAGCCTCCCCCTGACATCCTGCCCGTCTCTTCTGAACAACTATTATCCAGGTACAGTTGGCTTAAGGTCGTCCATGTGTTATGATAACCAACTTTCTCTGAGTGCGCTTATATCCAGATAAAGATCAGAGAGATGGATCTTTAGCTCATCGAATGTTGATAACATGCTCTGCGCATTTTACTATAAGAGATAAAGTTCGCGATCTACGGCAGCCGGAGAGGTGGTTTCGATGCGGTTCGAGCCTTCGCCTACTGTGTTGGCTGAGCAGTCGTCTGGATGTAGCCCCTCTAAAGGGAAAATTGTGGGCGCTGCTTGAACTGATTGTTGAAGATAACCAAATTGCGTTCTTCTTCGTTGAGTCTATTTCTCAGTGCTAGAACTATAAGACGATGTTTCAGCCTTTCTATTGGCGAATAATCCGATCGACGATAAGACGCTGGAGATAGGTCCATTTATCCCAAAACACCAAGACAGAAAACAGACTGGCTTGTTTCTTACAGGCCAGCACAACCCCGAGAGGTCGGGGGCGTGTTGATGCTGACTGATTATTTATCCGTTGAGGAGGAAACCGGTGGTATCTGGGTCAAAACTTCTAAAAAATATCCCGCAAAATTCCAAAAAATTCCTTCGATACGCGAATAAGGCGAAACGCAACCGGGATTGCATTTACTGTCTAAAATATCGCCAGCGAAATATGTTGTCTGACAACTCACATAAAGCAAACCTGTTGTTTAATTTCTTCACGTCTGTGTATACCGAGGAGCCGGCTTTTATGAAAGAGTTTACCCCCCAACTGTCAAATCAAACAATACAATTAGCACGGTGGACTTCACAGCAGACACGGTAAGGAAAATTCTCAGTCAAATACAGCCCACTAAATCGCGTGGTCCGGACGGCGTGCTCAAAAAAGCCCAGCAGCCACTCTCAGACCAACTGGCCTCTCCGTTATTCAGGGTCGTCAGATCTTCGACGGAGACCGGGGTTCTGCCTGCGCACTGTAAGAAAGCAAATATCAGCCCCATTCATAAAGGTGGCGAGAGAACAGCTCCAAATAGTTTCAGACCAATTAGTCTCACAAGCATCTGTTGCAAGGTGATTGAAAAGGTAATAACAACGGAGCTGGTGCGACATCTTGAAGAAAATCACCTGCTCAGTTTGCATCAGCATGGATTTCGAAGGCGTCGATCTTGTCTCGTTAACCTGTTAGTATCCATGGAGAGCTGGGCGAAATCAATCGACATGGGCGTATTAGTCGACGCCGTGTGTGTATCTGAAACGCCAAATCGGAATGGGCATCCGTCCACCGTTGCGTTCCGCAAGGGAGCGCTCTGGGTCCAATTCTGTTCTTGATATATGTGAACGACTGCCTGGACCGTCTGAACTGCGAGCGCGTAATGTTTGCCGATGATCTCACATTGTGGAAATTAATAAAGAAGCCGGAATACTCTGTACAGTTACAAGACAATCTGAATCACTTGCAACAATGGTGTGATGAGTGGTGTCTTAGCCTCAATCGTTACAAATGCCAACTTATCCGATTACGTTCAAGCAACAGGAGGCCGTTGAGATTTGAATCTTACTACTTTATAGAAGGCCATTTAGTCGAATCAGTCAAAGAGTTAAGAGACCTCGATGTGCGGATGACGTCAACTCTCAAACCATCGTCTCACTGCGCCAAGATATCAAAGAAAGCTATGGGTATCCTAGGCGCGATTAGAATATCCTTCCTCAATTTTGGCGAAGGACTTTTCGGACGAGTATTAGGAGCACTCATTCGACCAATGTTGGAATATTGTGTTCAGGCATGGTGTCCCTGGACGAAACAAGATTACACCCTACTGGAGAACGTGCAACGAAGAGCGACCAAGCTAGTCGGCGGATTAAGTAGTTTATCTTATGAGAGACGCCTGGAAAAGCAAAAAATATTTCTTCTCTCTTATAGACAATACAGAAGGGATATGATTTTGGCCTTCAGGATCGTTCGAGGGCTAGACTGTGCTCATCAGTTTGACGATTCCTCCGAACCGGCGCGGACGACAAATCTCCGAGGGCACCGATACAAATTGAAAATAAAATATGCCAAACTCGAATTGCGGGCCAAATTCTTCTCCCACCGGCTGGTTGAGGGATGGAACAAATTTCTGAACTCCGTCGTCTTAAAGGAAAACGTTGAGACCCTCAAAAGAAGACTAGATGAATTGATGCTTGATGGTTTAACTTGTGTACGATATCAATGACTGGCATAACTGCTATGCAAATATCCGCATGTTTTTTTCATACATCTATCTGTAAACTGGGCTTTCCAGGGCTCTGTCTATATCCCTCATATATGCTGAATTATAATGAACTGAAACGAAAACTCTAACACTTCTACTGTGCCTGTGGGTTTCTTAATATTATTATGCAGGCTTTGGAAGAGAATTGATTCTTCTGAAGCCCGCTCCGTGGAAATGTTGGCGTTTGATTCGGAGAATCCCTGAATAGCGAGCCTCCGCACTATGACGACTTCTTACGTATTTCCAGTTGGTACGTCACTGTTTAAGCGGTGTGGCTCGGTGTAGATATAAGCCGCTGATCGCGGAACAGGTGAACTTCGCGGTTTTGTTATTCCACTTCTGGTTTAACGGACTAGGAGGAAGTCGTTGGCACGAACGAGGAAGTGTAATGGTCTTCAGATTTGACAGTTGACTCACTACCAAAGAATTTTTTCGCTTCTGATCTCTTTCTCAAAATGGTTGCTCATGGGGGCTAACAGTTAGCATGCACTGTAAATCCTATTTGCCCGTAGCTCGCCTGCACAATCAATAAGATTTGTGAGATCGACTATCATCGTGGCGAGGTTGCTGATGGGGCCTGAGCCGCCGGTCGGTATGACAAGGTCCGCGAGATCGAGCCCGTGTTGAGACGATCAATTTTGGGCAGTAACGCATACGTTCGTCATGTTTTCTTGAGTTCTGTAAAATGGAAGATCTACAGGAACAAATTCGGCGACAAGTGCTTATATTGGGTCTGCCGAAATGTCTCGAGAGTCGAAGTTCTGGTGGGCGTCTTCATCCAACCCTGGTTTGTTAAGTTGATAAGAACCTGACTTTAAACAGGTGACAAGCAGAAATTATAAAGAAATATTTCGACTCAGACTTTTGAAGGTTTTGCCTGAAAACGTCCACCAGCGGTGTGAGTCAGTATTTTGGAACTACAGCTTGTGTAGACTAAACCGAAACTCCAACTGAAAGCCGAGGTTTGCTGAGCAATCGTCTTTGTCGTACGATAGGTGCGTCGATGTCTGTTAACCGAGGAATTGAGGACAATGAGGTGTTCTACAATTCCATTGAAGTGGGAGAGGGCCGTTTCAAGGAAAATAAGCTTCCTGACAATTTCCTTCTTGCGAGTCTAAATTCAAATTCCGCGAGTGATTCGGTACTGCGGTTAGTAAACATCAGGGATCCTACTGGGCAGCTAAATGACTCTCACAGAGCAACTGCTGCAACGCTCTTCCGTCGGTCTCAATAGGAGTTGCAGAAATCACTGAAGAGCGTGCAGCAAAGGCATGATCATAATTAAAGGAAAGGTTTTCGGATACGACGCACGCCAGTTTAAATGTCAGAAATTTGTTGTTTAAGCCACAGTAAGCAGTGATCTGTGACTTGGTGTTATTCACATTATTTTGGACGGAGTATTTGTCTTAGGCTGTGAGTGCAAAGCCCCACGATCTGTGTAGAGTTGTTTGAATGGGGACACTTTTGGCGCGCGGACCTAGGATGGTGACGACCTAGCTGCGTGTCGGTGGAAATGTCCAGTGCCCCTTCTTTCTCTCTCTCTCTTTCTCTCTTTCTCTCTCTCTCTCTCTGTACGTCGGCATCTCCCTCGACCCTCCCTTGCAGTTGCCCACGGCGCTGCCTTCCCCACCGGTAATTAAACTGGCATGTCAATGTCGCCTTACCATCCAGACAGGTTACTCCCTCTTTTTAACTCACCCCTTTGCACAACTAAGCATTATTATATGTATTCCCACTTTCCACCTCTTCCCAGTATACCTTATTGGCTACCTAACGTTTCTTCTTACCTTGCGTATGGATGAGTATTGCGAGATGATAACGGCTCTGTTCAGACCAGTCTAAGCCGCGAACTCTACCTAGTGCTTCAGTGCCTCGGTGTGTGCCATCCTTGACGTTCTTGGCCGTTACACGAGAATAGACTTTTTACGATCTCATGTCATTTTCTTTTGTTTAAATTCCAAGAGATCAGCGAAGGTGTCGTAAAAGTGTTTGAAATCCTTTCTGCCTTACTGAGCTTTATAGATGTTGCGCAAAAAGTGTGTAAATTTCCCGCTGCACAATTCGTCATATCTACATGTCGGTAGTTGGTTTACTCAGAGGAAAAGGACACGGCCATCAGTGTATATCGAGGCGACTGACTGCCAGCCACATCTAGTGACACCGAATTTTTACATGCCTTGCACTGCCTTTTGACTTCTCACAGCGTTGGCTCGACTCATTTTCGAGCTATTTTTTCTTATCTACGACAGATTATTCTTTCATTCAATCCAACAGTAAAACTTTTGCGGCCTCGATGAGATTTAAATCTATGATAGCAGCTGCAAGGCTTTCGCGAAGTCAACGCTCTAAACACCGGACTACAAGATCTCGACCGTACCCCGCAAGTTCAGTTACATTTGGACTTATTGACCCGTCCAACTTACTGCAACACCTGTGTTTCAAAAATTTTGACAAAAAATGCTGACCGCTTAATCCGGTTTGCCAAAGCAACCCATTTAACGCCCATTGGATGAACGCCAGGTCCAATTAGATATCTAATACTTTTGATAAATTTACCAAAACACCTCTAAATTTGCATATGTAAAGATGGGGTCAAAGCTTTCCCAACGTTCGTTATTTAGGCCAAGGTAGCTAACAGATCGCTAGCACAGTAATCAGCGGTCCTATTGGATGGCACACACAAGTTTGCCATTTTAGATTCTCTAATCTTATTGGCGTAGTACACTTTGGACAGTCAATCTCATTGGATTTCGCCAAATTAAGTCAAAAGTTCTAGTTCAACCATTGAGTATTTTGTTTTGCCTATCAGAGACCCCGTAAAGGTTAGGAAAACGCCAGAATGTCCTAAATAATTCCCGAAGATCTAATTGGCCACGACATACTTTCTTGTATTCTTGGAATTTGACTTACGTATACCCATTGGTATATTTTACGTAAACCTACCCGAAACACCTCGAGGCCGAATCAGAACACAGGACGACTGACGATGGGCAACTTGGACTGGAGGGCGTCTTCTGGACGCCATCGACCCTCCTACATCGCCTCTGTTGCCCAGACCCAATAAGGCTTGCCGCCAAGCCGACATCCCAGTGTCCCTGATTCCAACTGAAGTCCAGCTCTCCTCTTTTGCTCATTATAAATAATCCTCAAACTTCCCTTAGGATCCCGTCTTCTCTTCTCACTGGGGACTAGAATGGACTCTAGGCGTAACTTTATCGTCCCCAACTTAGTTGGGTTTTTTGCACATAATTTTTGTTGATTTGTTGGTATTGTGGTTGACTGAAGATACTTCGGTTTTTGATTGGGCAGCAGATTAAGTTAAGATCGTTCATTTCTGTCACCCATGGGCCTTTCTAAGCCTTATCTAGTCATCTACAACATTGTGCAGGCTTGCGGGTAACTTATTCCGTCTCTTTCATTTCAAAAGATGGGGATACATACTGTTTTTGGAGTTATTATCAGCGGCACGCAATAACAATGACGTAGGGTTCTTTCTCCAGATATTCCAGACACTTGCGTTGCTTGAGGTATTCTGTTTTATTTCTTATGTTGTGCTCAGGTCCTCCATGCATGTCTTAGGCTTGTTAGGTCGTCGCCGTTAACGACAATCATACAAATATCTTCTCGCATTTTTGTCGTCTGGGGTGTTTTGTATTTGTACCCCGAGGTAAAAGGCCATTCACAAGCTCTGCGGATGATGGTGGTGTCCTGGTGTTTAGCAGAAATCACACGTTATTTCTACTACTTTGCTTGTCTTCTTCTCAAACCTCCTTACCCACTAACCTATTTAAGGTGAGGTGGCCTTCATGTTTTCACATAGCCATATCAGGTACTCCCTTTTCATGATCCTCTACCCTACTGGGATACTTGTGAGTTCCTCCCTACTTTTCATTCTCTGTTTTAGGGCGAGATTTTGCTTATATCGTTTTCTCTGCCATATGTTTCAAAACATTCGCCGATCGATTTCCCTATGCCCAATCGCCTTAATGTCGCCCTTCACGGATACTATGTTTACTGGACAGTTCTCTTAATGTATCTTCCATGTAAGCTTCACTTCGCAGATTTCCAATCCTTTAGTCTCTCCCGTGATGTATAAGCACATGCTGGCACAGCGCAGAAAGGTTCTGGGATCTTCGACGAGGAAGGATGCATGAAGGACCCCTGCAGTTGGCGAATCAACGAGACGAAGCTTTCGTCCGGATTATAGTTTCGTCTAAATACGCTTTTCCTACCTAGGTTTTATAATATATTATGCAGATTTTGCGATTCCTTCAGAATATTGATTCTCATTCTACTAAGAGACAAGCTTATGCAGGAGAAGGCTATTTAGTGCACAATATGTCGTGGCACATTAGAAGTCCATGCAAAATAAGTCCTTTTGCTAGTCAGGTGATTTAAGCCCACGACGAAATACATCTAAATAATTCATTTTGACCCAACTGTGAAAAACTTGGTACCTCGACGGGATTCGAACCCACGTAGTAAGGGGAAAGCTTTAGTACAGCCAACGCTCTAACAACCGGAGCCACAAGGCCCCGCCGGACGACGCGAGTTTAATCAGATTTGGGTCAAGTTGCCGGCCCAACCTACTGCACCGTCTGGAATCCACCAAATCTGATACAGTAACTTGACTGCCCAAGCAGGATTTCCTAAGTAATTAACCTATAATCCACCAGATGACTGCCAGGCTCACCTAATTCATAGATGTTAGACACTAGAACCTATTCTACAGAACACCATCATTAGGAAACATGCCACTAACAGGGAATTTGCGGCTTCCTCAAGCTGTTGGATGGGTAAGACAAGGAAATGGGAAGTTCCCTGGAGTCCCTGGTGACAACACAGTTTACAACTTCTAGAATTTTGCATGCGTTAAAAATTAAGATGGACATTTTAACCGCTCTCAGTGCTTGCTTCCACTAGAGACTTCCAGTCACTTCGCACGCTTTCATTTCTCGGGAAGCTTTCATGACGTTATGGAAGATTTTCTACGTTTGGAATGTCTTTCGGGCAAAATACTGGCTCCGCAGAATTCGCTACTGCTATTGATTGCTGGGACAAGAATGGTGAACGGGTGCAGCTATTGCCCGGAAACATTTATTAATTCTATAAAAGGTTTGCGGGATCCTTCAGATCTCCAAGACTGTGCGAGCTTGCAGCATTAGATTGAAAATCCTTACCCAATTGTAGCCAAAAAAATTGTTGAATAGAGTAAGGAGCATTTTTATTTGGCGAATCTTACTTCTTCAAATCCCATAACGGTCTGCGTAATGACACTTAGTAGGAAAATCACGATTGACTGGCGAACGCCTCTTGGTTCTTCTAGCAAGAGCCTGGGAGGAAAACTGATTACCTGATTTCACATTTTTGTTATTCTCTATGTAACAAAGGCTAGGCGCATTGTATATGCCCAGACGTCCATATTCAGTCTCGGTAGTTGTCGAAATGTTCGTACGTAAAGATCGACCACCTCAGATCGATTTTTGATTTGTTCTTCGCTGACACTACTGCTTTCTTCAGGCTTTCTCCCCGAGAACTGTACGTGCAACGTTAATAAAGACGAGTGACTCCCAATTTCCTCTAGAGTTGGCTGAAAGACTGAGGATTTAGACCATAAAGAAATCCTAGACGAGGCCCAGCAGTTGAAACCTTGACGTGGTGACCGGCGTAAGGTGCTGTAGGGCGTAAGACGTAAAAAGTTGTGGAGGGCCAGGTCGAGTAATGGGAACGAAAGAGTCCTGAGAAAAGCAGCGGGAGAGGCGACGGAGCCACCTGCCCTTCCAAGCTAAATAACGCACTTTTACCTACTAAACAAGGTGATTCGGATGAATTTAGATGCTCTTTTGACTGGCTTCCCGAAGTTCTTCCTTCGATTTCGTCTGTGCATCCTGATTAAATTAGCTTCGTCCTTTTAAGTATTCATTTTTTCCCACACTCCCCCGAAGGTTACAACAGAGGGCTTTCACGGACTTATAGTTGTCACGATCAAATCCTTTACTTGTCCTTATTCTTGAAATATGCCCCTAAGTAGTCCACTTTGTGCCATACCGTTAGCCGATAGCTTTGAAAGTCCGCTTTGATTGTAGCACAATTTTATATTTGAGTTTGGAAATAGATTACACTTTCTTTTGTAAAAATCGCTTGTAATGCAGGTTACACTTAGTGGAGGTTTAAGGCGAGAAGACTGAGTGCGGGCTGTAGTGCCAATGCAACGGCCGAGCTCGTCGTTGGAGCGCTTGTGAGAACCCCTGCGGTCGTTGAACTTGGTTGTTTGGTGGTCGAATTCTTCTCTCCAGTTGTGCCGGTTAATTGGGTACTCTTTTCTGTTGTCACTGCTGACTGTGTTGTCGGGGCGGTTGTCTCCCCTCCCGCCAGAGTGCATCCAACTTCAAAGGACGAACACATTTTGTTGAAGTCACTCTTCGTCTGCGTCTCAGGACATCAGTATTAAGATGCAGTGGTACTGAATTAAGACTCGATCTTACTAAAGCTTTTAGACATCCTCGGCGTTCTTACTAGTGCCCGCCGACTGGTAAGTAGTCCATGCCACTTAAATTTGAGCGCCGTTAAGTGCTCGCTCTAAGAAAAGTCACGGGATGGGCGGCCACTTCAGCAAGTACTACGTCGTAGAGACCAGGCTATGGTTACGACCTTGGCAGACGAAATCAAACACTTTAAACTGGTCTCACCGACCTATTCGCAGAAGTAGGGCTAGTACAGATATCGTATGGAGTTGGCTATTGCCTCTAACTGGAATCGCAAATTTAAGGAGCCTGACGAAATATTCCGCATCAGTCTGCGCACTACAAATTTTCAGACAGTCAAGACGAGGTTGGAATTCAGGTTCTCATAATTCATTAGTATTTCCGCTAACAGCCATGGGAAGTTTTGTCCTCAAAGCACATATTTGGGTCGAAGTCTTTTTTGGTTTTGCCAGGTTTCATGCTGTTCTGCTCACAACCGGCGCTGTTGGATGTTCGTAGAATCTTCGAGTTTATGGGGATTCAATTCTCTCTGAAGACACTAATGAAGGTCTTTTTACGGTAGAGATAAACCATGCAATCCCTACTGTGCCATGTCTCGGATGATTGCCATACTTAGTGATGTTGAGAAACTGTAGTGTTCGTGCTCACCGTTATCAAACCGTGCGGTTCGCGAATCAGTATTCAACAAGTTTTCCAGACGTGACTTATTAGATAATCAGGTTAGAACCCGGAGGCGTAGCTTCTCACAGAAAGCCCTGACGAGACGGAGATTTCAATAATCCCCTTTAGAGTCTATCCACCCAAGCATTAATGAGACAATATCTTACCCAGATTATTGTATCTGGGTGTGCATACCCCTACCAAAATTGCAATTATCCTAGTGGCTGGTGCGTCCTTTACCATTCCCCTTCCATCCATGTATAGTTCCCTCCTAATTTCTGATCTTTACCACAGGCTTGCAAGAATACCACCTGACTGCAGGCGCAATCAGGGACGTCCGCCAGGGCTTCTTTATGCCATTGTCACTTCTCAAGTTTTTTAGATGTGTAGGAAGTATGCGTCTGCCGCAGTATATTGACACGCGTATGGCAACTGAACATATTTCATTCCGCATTCTCCGCACCTATTATAGCAGGTCCTGCTAATGACACTTGGAAAGCTCAAGTAATGTGGATTCCCCAGCTATGCCCGCACTTAACTCAAACTTTGACTGCACTTACTTGCACTTTGATGGTGTCCTTTCCTCGAAAACACCTTCCTATTTTCCTTTAGTCGGTCTGGCAGACGAGCATGTGAAAATAGGCATTGACCTTCGGAAAGTACTGTAGCACGGTCGAGAAAATTGAAAGGCGAACTTATCTACCATGGCTATCGCATGTTTCCGACACCTTTCAATTCTTCTAACAGTTGCTGATCTATTCCTCTGCGGCCACTGCTACATTTGGCCTTTCAAGCTTCGATCTGTAGAGCGATAAGGATGAATCTGTTCCGTCATGGGCTGTGGGTCCTCTGTTTGGTGGTTTAAAAATTGGCCTCGGTGTTGTTGTTTTCAACAATGCCTATAACAGTATTGTAGCGGTTATTGATCTCCGCATAATAAATGCCACATTTTCTGTAATTATCACGCGGATAGTGCTGTAAGTCAGGAGTTTTTGCACTGTAGTAGAGTTTTCGCCGTCTTACCATGCTAATAAGGCAATATAGGTGAGGTCCTCTATACTAACACAGATTTCCCTCCTCTTAAGGCCCTACTTGAGCCAGAATTTGGCTCCTCTCGGTGGCTACTCACCCGAATATTTATCTTCTCACCACAATAGTCGTTCTTTGTGGTAGTCTCGTCTCTACCACAGGCTATAACTTACTTGAATCGCAATACATTTCTGACTTACCCAAAAGCACCGTGGCGAGGATAAATAGGACTGCAGGTTTGGGGCCCATGTTACCTGTAAAGTAATGCGTAGAGGAGAAATTCCGGAAATACTGCCAAGGACACATTGATAAAAATAAAAATCAACTTACGATCGGAATTTTCAAGCTCAATGGAATCTCCTGTGCAATAACCTATCTGGGGTAATACTTAGCCTTATAAGCACGGGGACGCAATGTAGCAAATATATATTTATGAGTTTCCGAGAAGATACGCTTCGCAGGAGCGCTCAGTGCTAAATCAAAGAGAAGAAGTTCCAAGTACTGGGAAGAGATGCTTCTAAGCATTAGAGCCACGAGGTGGGCTGCAGAGCAACTAGTTTAATGACAGGTAGTGTTAGACCAGGCCTGCCTACAGTCTGGCAGCTGGCTGCATTGATTTCGGTGCCAATCTACATTTATGGAACTCGGCAGCGCCGGTTGGTCTGCCTGGTAAGTGCTAGGCAGGCTGGGATGGCGATAATTCTTGATTTCTTCATGCATAGATCTCCATGGCTCAATCACGTCTTGCCATCACCAATTATCGTAACAGCAGAATCAGAGGTGTCTTGTTCCCCAAAGACTGATGTAGTGACCCTTTTACGTTTGTGCAGCCTGGTTTGGGGGTCGCATTCTAATTTGGTCCCTACAGCTGCGAGGGTGTCTGCGTGCAGAATATCAGCCTGCTGAACTGAGTTTAATCAGCCATTAGTGCGCACGATTGAGCGGTACTTTGTGACCATCTGTCTATGCATCGATCTTTAGGCCTAGTCCATGTATTCCGTTGCCTCAGTGACCCTTGTAATATTTTGAAGGCATGCCATATTGTTTATAGGGAGGAATATGCACCAAGTGTCGTGGAGAGACAGTCCCCAGTGTCGGCCTTACTCTCCCAACGTCCGATCCGGTCGGACATCTGATGAGGGACATTTGCGCAGTGGCTGGCGTGAAAAGAAGCCTACGCCTAGACAAGCCACCACCTCCCCCACATGTTGCGTTTGTTATGATTACACGGTCCGATTAACGCGTGCACTGTCCCGATCTGGCCTATGTGTTGGTCCAGCGCAGCTCCCGCGTTGCCTGTTCTGAGGGAGCCAACTCATCATGTAAAGGGCAGCACGCAATATCTTGGGTTTTAGATCATCTTCTGCATCGGTTCCTTTCCTCGGTCGAGGACGGCGATACCTGATAATTAAGACTTGCTGACGGGCAGTCCTGAATTTATATATAGCGTATCATCCAGCTTTGAATTTTGAATAATATAGCGAGTGTGTATTCTGTCATGCACGGTCCTCAGAAAGTTTAGCTTTCGCGCTAACGCGTAAGCATTTTGAAGGCCAGGATCGGGTTCATTGTCGCTGTATGCATGTGCAGTTTTCCATTGCAGAACGAAGTCACCGATAAAGACAAATGAAACTGAAATGGCCATTCTGGCCAGGTGTTTCCAACTCCAGGTTTGGAGCACTTGGAATTCGGATCCGGGACCTTTAGTCACCGAGTCGAACGCTCTACCGATTGAGTCAAAGGCCCGTCCTCTCTGTCGTGTTCGGGAATACTAACTTATAAGGGCGTTCACTGGTCGGGTTGTAGGGCCTGTTCTCTCCATTGTGCTTTGGTGCTCGATCTTGAACCTCGCAGGCAGTCGCACAGCGACTAGTAATATATACAGAGCGCGATTCCCGAGATCGAACCTCAAACAGCAACGGACCGAGCAGGTTTCGTATCCTGGTCAGTGAACGCTGTTTTTCTTGTTTACTGTCCGTCTCATTAGACGCCAAAGATTTCTCCCACAAACGCGTCCAACGTACTTTATTTTCCGGAGGGCTATAGGCTTCGACATCCGAACGAGTCTTTGGTAAAATTTCAGCATGCTAAGTTGTTTGGATTGGCAAGAGAATTCGTACCATACTCTGGTTTGTTTATTTGTCTTGTAGATATTTTTAGAATGTTGACAGAATTGTTTGTTTAAGATTTTGCACCCTTAATATATAGGGCCTCACCGAGAAGCAGTACACATCGGTCTTTGCGGCCTCCATATTTTTATGTATCTCAAAACAATGAACACCTCTAAGCAACTGCAGTGGCCTATCTTTATGGTTTCAATGGCACTTGTCCGTGTTGGGTAGTGTACAAAGCTCAAAGGCATACTTTTAAGCCGAGACTGGCTAACCAAATTTCATTTCATCTGCCAGGTAGAAAAAAGGTGTATGGCACAAAACACTCCTTCCAGGTGCGCAGGCCGAGGAGAAAAACATTTATTGCATTGTAGTCTTATTTATCCTAATGTTCCCTCCAGAAGGGACATTGCAATTCACATGGTTAGGGGAGAGCCGGCTCAAGGCGATGGCTGAAGTTGCAGCTCACAAAATATCAAAATTCGGGTCAAACGACTAGGGGAAACGTAAGAGGGTAAAATAATTGAAAGTACATCGGAAGATAGGTTACCTGAACTGCCACTGACTTCAGCCACATTATCCCACGTCAAAGATTAGGACGGATTGCGAGCCTCTTAACTCGTCATCACCTGACTGTGTGCTGGTTTCAGAGGCGTTGCTCAGCAATCTACAACCTGAAGTGCGGATAGCATGCTAATCTGGTTTGCCTGCCTAGATGACTACAGACCCACCGAATAAGTGGGCTCCGTAGTGTCAGGCCCATTGTGCTGTGTCCGATTTACTAGCTGAGTAAGAGTTGGTCTATTTGTGCAGAGGAATCTAGGTAGCAGTTCAGAAGATGAAGATGCGATCATTGGAACAAGAAATTTATTTGCCTGACGTTTCGGATTCTCACTCAAATCTATCATCAGAGACATTCGCAGATAAAGGATGTGAATGCGAATGTCTCTGATGATGGATTCAAGTGAGAATACGAAACGTCAGGCAAATAAATTTCTTGTTCCAGTGATCGCATCTTCATTTTCTAAAGAGGAACCTACCCGCCTGTAGTAGTGTGCTTTCTTAGTCGTTGCCCCCAGTGGTCCTGGATTAGCTCAACTATTAGAATGTGATGGAATTGCAAAAAGTGAGGTCCATCCACTTCTATTTTTCATCACAATAATTCTCTTAACGCGCAGCCCACCGTCGCTTTCAGGTAATTACCTTCGCGGAACCCACCAACATATATCTCCCAGACTTGACTCGGGGGCTACATTGCATATTGCCCACCGACCTCCAAAGGAGACTTATCTAAGCCTATGCTTAGCCCAGATAAGACAGATTTCCTATCCGCACGACGGTACAGATTAAACAGTGTTCCCACACATTGCCGTGTGTCGACGAGAGGAGGGGGGTATTCACTCCAAAGGTTGCTCAAGGGACAGGTCCGCTCTATACATTAACCACTTTGTGCCTGTGACTTTTGCACGGCCTGCGGTGGGGCATTCACGTGAAGCTGCGGCCGATCCTGTCCAGACGCTGCATTCACAATCCCACGCCATGCTATGCCCAACTACCAGATGTATTGAGCGTCCACCCAGGTCTATCCCCGGCCACATATACCCGCCTCGGGTGAATGCATCACGAAGACTATCACATCCAACCACTCTTGAACGTCCATATCGTGGGTGCTTTCAAAGTCCGTGCACCCGAAAAACGGGACAGTGCCCTAGTTCTCGCACCGATGAAGTCGTCAGTATGCTTGTGCAGACTCCCTTTTAGTCATTCCTGGCTTTAGTGCAAGCGTGTTGGCATTTAGCACCCGCTGCTGACCGAGACAGAAAGGTAATGTACTGTATGGAAGAGACTTTGGTAGGACACAGGGATAGGTATACCCCTGGAATTTAGTGGAGAATTATCTGTCATTAGGAGGTACCTAGTCCCCTGTCTTACTGAAACTTCTTCCTGCTGTCAAATGGGTCTTCACATAGATGCCGTTCTGCTAAACATGGTCTTACGGATTTTCCCCCACCAGTCGGTTTCTATATCGGGAATGTCGTCCGATCCGGTAGTTAAGACTGGCTGAACTTGGGAGAAACAGTTCGAGGAAAGCAGATGTCATAATCCAAACAAATTGGAGCGAACCAAGACTTAACACACAGAAACTATCGTGAATACTGTTATTTCTGTAACCATGAGATGTAAACATAATTAGATACACGCCTCGTATGTATACACTTCTGAAGATGGCTGGGGTTACTAAATAACCCAAGATAAGGTTTTCCTACAGGTTAGTGTTTGATCGACAGAAAGCTATAGAAATAACGGGTATTGCATATTGCCAAAACAGTACGAGCTGTAGCAATCAAGCAAGTAAGACTGATCGCATACTGTGAGCACTGTCTAAGAGGTGTAAAGAAGACTGAGGGTGTCACGTGTAAAAGCCCTAGGCCACTTGGACATGAAATTACTCCATCGACTCAAGGTTAGTTCGAGTGTCCGCGGGGGCCTAATTCAAGACAGCACTGCCCATCCATCCGTAAGCAGCCGTAAATGTCTGGGTTATTGGGAAGGGAACTACAGATCAGGTAGCAGTGGTGGGCTGGCACTTAAAGTTTTTGGCTCTTTCAGGACGTAGGCATCAAGTATCTAGTTTAAGGAATATTGTCAAATAATTCTTGTACTTTCCTAAAACGTGTTTCGAAAGACGCATCGTTTTCTGTTGATTATGACCTCTGGCTTTTAAAGATTAAGTTAGGTTGCTTTGCCTCAAATTAGAGGTTTCGATAAGAACAAGCCACCAAAACAATTAAAAAGGGAGTGGGTTTCGCGCACTAGAAGATTCTGGGCGTTCGAAAGTAAAATCAGGAAATAACTTTATTTTCCTGTTTTACTTAAACACTGTCAAAAATATACCTGGGAAACACGAAAGTAGGGTAGTTAAAGGAAGGGCAACACGTACTTCGTAGGTCGCGATGAGACTCTCGGACACGTGTGACGTCCTCTCAGCGCTGTGATCTCCTACCGGGTGACCGTTTCGATTTATATGAGCTTACCTGATAACTGGATTGGTGCTCTGATGAAATTAGGCCAATCATCGGTTGTTTCTCTGTGTGCAGAGGACAGACGCGACGTTTTGCAGTGGGTTTATGGACTGCGTGCTGCCTACCTTTTTCAGAGTAGGGCTCCGAGCATAGACTCATTCCATTTGATTCTTTCAACTACCAGGGACAGGGAAATCTGAAAGATGTGTCATGTTTAAAATTCTTGCCTTATTTCCAGTATGCTTACGGTGTGAAATGCCCGTGCACCAGCTCGAATTACCCTCCGGCCTTTGGGGTATAAGCCTGGCTCGTTGAATTCTTAAAAATTCGTAATCAAACAAGGTTATTTTGTCATATCAACAGCGCGTCTGATCCGACTTTTCACTCCATACATCTAGATCACCTACCAGACCATAGCAAATAAATGTGTTCGAGACTTTAACTATGCTGTCAAATCCAACTAATATTCTTTTTAAAATGAAAAATCACAAAGTAAGCACAGATATACGTCTGGCGGTCGGCCACGTTTAGTTCGAATGGTAGATACTGGTATGCTTTTCCAGTTTGGGATTATTCAATCGACTGACAAAATATCCGGGCGGTATAAGGCCTTCACTTTTTTCGGTAGTGAACTATAGATTTTATGAAAATCACTATTGGTAAGAAAGTTATTTATGCTCACCTCAGAGGAATAAACTTATTACTAGAAGTCTATAAGTGAAGTAACTGTATGCTATCTTCTATCCGAGGCACCGCTCAATCTTCTTGTTCGGAATATTTAGTAGCTACAAGTCCGCTGAACTACTTACTATATGTAGTGGCTCTGCTTTCTAATCAGTTCGTCAAATTTTCTATGCCATCTTTGCAAGGGATGCGCGAGTGACATTCGGAGACTTAGCTTACCCTCAAGATCAAAATTTCTGCCCTCCCAGTAATTTCCATGGGGTTTCACCTCATCCACGGATAATTTTCGAGATGACTTCACGAAGGCATCAGATCGAATTCCAGTAATTTACCGAATGTGGATTTGAAGAGCGTTACTTTCGTTCTTCAAAGACGATTCTTAAGTTTCATGTAGTAAAACCCGTCATCTCATCTGGGATTCCGAAGAGCAGGCGTATGTGTGATTTGCGAATAGTGCGTTTTTCTTTCGCTGGTCTGAAATCGGTCTTAAAAGCTGTTAAAGTTCCTTGGTTTCCGATTTATGGACAGTGACGCCAACTGCAAGTTATTGACCCCAACGACCGCGCGAAATTTCGACCTGTAGCGAATACAACTAGTTCGCTTTTCCATTCTTGAAAAGCAAAAGAATGTCAGACCTAGAACCCTTACTCGTTTAAACTAGAGATTGGGAACGTGTTCATCTTAATGGCCAGAGTCATGCTGTTGGCCGTAATAATTTTAACATGATCGCTTACCTCGAAAGAGCACACTATTCCCCAGTCAATAATAATGAGGTTTGTGTAACTTTTAATCTAATCGATTTATAAGAGGAACAGATTTTGGCATAATTTTGACCTTCTTCAATTAATCATGCAATAGAATTTCTCTGAAATGTGGCGATTAATGGGAATTCATTTGGCCCATCTGTGAAAAATTCTGCGACCTCTGTAGAATTCTAACCCATGGCAGCAAGGGGTGATGGCTTTAGCACAGCCAACGCTTTAGCCGCCTGAGCCTCGAGGCCCCACCGGACGACGCGAGTTTAATCACATTTGGGAAGTTGTTCCAAACCTCGACGGCAGAAATTATTAGAAGTCTCTTTAATAATTGAATGAGAAAATGAAAACGAGTTTGCGCTGTCATAGAGACTTCCCAATCTGGTCTCATTGATTTTCGATGCCCTTAAAAACTCAATTATATTTCTTGGAAAACGTGCACAAAAGTATTCATTCTTTTGCTCATTCGGTAGAAAATTACGTCTTCTTCCAATATTATACTCGAAGGAAGGGTATTACTTGGTTTTCGAAAACTTCCAATTGCCGGATAATTTTGAACCCGCTCTACCGTTACACTTGGATTCAGCGTTTCAAAACTACAGGTCGTATATTTTCCGCTTACGGAAAACCACACATATCTCTATGGCATTAAGAGGAAATTATATAGGGTTCATAAAATTTAGCATTGGATTTGATCCAAATTGTTAACTTTATAAGCCACACTGGTAAATGCGGAGACATGACGATTTATGAATGGCCATTTCACGGTATCAAAAAGTTTCACAATTAGAAACTTTTTTAAAACCGAATTATTTCCCCCCTTCGAGTATAAAATTAGAAGAAGACGTAATTTTCTACCGAATGAGCAAAATAATGAATATTTTTATATATGCTTTTCATGAAATATAATTGGACCTTTAGGACATCGAAAATCAACGAGAAAAATTCATGCTACTTACGTAGTCATTTTTTTCAGAGTATAGTTTTTGCATGCAGCTGAAAGGAAGTTCGTTAGAAAGCCGGCCTCCTGAGGTAACTGAATTATTATAGAATTATACCGCAGGCTGAGTAGTTTTACAACCCTACTCGTTTAATCTTTTCGAAGCGAAAACGCATTTCGGGATTTCGGTTGACATTTCACGAGTTAGCCCACTTACTGTAATATTTGGAATACACTAAGACAGTCTAAAAAGAATCAGAGTCCTGTACCTTGTCTGTTAGGCACAACTGCACATGTGGGTCAGTGCACTCAGTTCTCGTGTTCTCTCAAAACGAAGAATTTTTTTGATTTACGACTCGAGTGAGTGTGCTACAGGATAGAATTTTAAACGCCCACGCGAGAGCGACGTCAAGCTCGTGGATCAGATCCTCACCGATAGGTAACGTTTATGTTTCTTAAACAGTTTTTTGTGTTGGTTCTGGTTTGAGTGGGGCTCGCCAAAAGAGCCATGGTCACCTTCAAGGTTTATCTAAAAATAATGTGGTAGAAAAGACCGGCTTTTTAAAACACGTTCTCAATCTTGCAAATAATTGTAATATGCCGCAGTACATGATTACATCAGAAATTATTGAAAGAATTTGTGGCAGAGTTACAGGTATAGGACTAACCAACTCAAACTGATTCCCAGTAGGCATTCACTCAGGAATGGGCGCACACCGATGCATTGGCTTCCCGCAGCAAACAAGCTTCGTATGGGTGGAAGGGGTTAAGAACAGGCAACCATCTACCAGGCCGAAGTCGACCAAGCTATGATAGCAGAGGGGAGACGACAGAGTCTGGGGGGTAGATTGATACAGCACTGTTTTGGGCTTATTTACCTTCATTCAGCCAATCATAACCCTGACCACCAGCTGGGACCGGAAACACAAACATGCGCACAGACACACCTGGCGCAGTTGGTCCGCCACTGGGGTCTACCAGTCTTCATCTAACCTGAGTTCATCAGTGCCAGTCTTCATCGAACCAGAGTTCATCAGTGCCTCGCCACCTGCAATGCTCTGTCGCTGCAGATCGGGCATTTATTCCCTCAGGAAGGAGCGCACACCGATCCATTGGCTTCTCACAGCAAACGAATCTCGTATGGGTGATAGGGGTCACTAACAGGCGACCATATACTAGACAGAAATCGGTCAAGGTGTGATAACAATATATATGTATCTACGTGGTAGATGGGCGCTCACCGATCAGGTTACGGAACATGCTTGTCCCGTTGCGCCTTGGATCTCAAACTATAACCTTCGCAGGTATTTGCATAGAGACGAGGGATATATGTAGATAAGTGGATACCGGCAAAGGCAAGGGAGACCGAAATGGCCTTTTCTGGCTTATTAGCCGTCATCAGCCAGTCATACCCGATCTCTGTGAGGGGGACCCACTGAGGAGCCGAACCCCCCCCCCCTCTGCTGTGTTACGCAGCGGCAGTATCTCGGCGAAACACGTGTCTGGGCTTCTAGCTAGTACCTATTTTGGGAGTACGGTAGAGTATCTTTGTCATATACATTTCATACTACCTGTAATACTACTTGTCTGTCGAATGGGCATTACGCCGTTATTCCACAGTAGCCGATTGGTTTCGACTCAAATTTTCATTGAAATTTCGGGCCTGACCCCAAAAAGTCGTGTTCTGGAGACTTAACGCCATGTCCCGCACCAAATAATTCTTCAAATTATTCACTTGATATATATATATGTATATATATATATTCCGCAAATATCCCCATGTTACACTTTAAAGGTCAAGTTGGCAAGAACGTGTTTTCGGTAATTCTTCGTCAGATCAATACATGAAGGAATGAAAATGTACAAAATCAACCGTGTTTATAGGTGTCTCAAGGACTATTAAGTCATTAACACTCATCTTCCCCACGCCGCACGCATGACGAGGCCGGCGGGTTTTGGTCCTTAGAGCTAGGGAGGGGGTAAGAGAGTCTTTGAGTGATGTTCTTGGATTGAGTACACGAAGTACCCATCCCTGTAATTAGGGATTTGAGACGGCATGTCGTCATCACTTGAGGTTTTCGCTGGCCACGGCAGAGAGGGTGCTTGTGTCAGGATTTTCTGACAGCATAACACCAGATTCGCTAGCCACTGCCCCGACCGTTGCTAGTATCCGTTGGCGTATGCCTTTAGAGAAGCTTGTTGGCGTCCGATAGACAACCTGAAACGCTTCCTTGACATCGACTCGGTGATCCGTATAGATTAAGTGTGCGAGAATATAACTCGAAGTCGATTGGGTCTCATCTCTATCTAGCCACGCGGGCATATGTTCACGCACCCTCTTTACAAGGCGTCTCTTTGTACGATCGATACCATATATATGTATATGGTAGAGGGGTACTCACCGGTCGTTCACAGGTCGCAGGATCGAGCCCCAGGTGTTCCACACCTCGGGGTCTGGTATGGCAGGCTGAGGACGGCTAATAAGCCAGAAATAGCCATTCCAGTCCCCTTTGTCTTTGTCGGTAATGCTATTCTACATATATATGCAATGGTAAATATTGTATACTGGCCAATTTACCATACTCACGCACAATTACTAGCTAGAAGTCCAAACACGCTTTTCGCTATTTTCATATTGTGGTCTGACGCAATTGCTGGACGTTCGACTCATCAGCATGTCCCCTAGCTCCCCCCTCCACAATGTGTTTTCTGGTGTGCGCACACTTTAACAGATGACAGCTCATTTATGCTTCTTTGTTTTTCTATTTGGCCCATCTAAG